ACATTCCACATTCATAGTTTTTACTCCTTCTGTGAGAATCTACAACGTAAATAAACATGGAAATAAAGAAAACACAAACACTGGTAGTAGGCTGTATATTAAAGTACTCTAAATACATTTACTCTACCTTGTCTTAGCTCTTTGCAGTACTTTCTACTTCTACTTGAGTTACATAATTTGCAGTAACAGTACTCTTTATATATTTTGCCTACTCATCTAAATCTCTTCAGGCTCCAACAGCTCCTCTCTTCACTCCATTAGGTTTAAGTGTGGTGTAGGTACACATCCTGAGGACAGAGAGAGGGAAGAGGGGGTGTATGTCTTTGTCTTATAGGGTCAAAGCATTCCCCCTCTCCCTCTCCTCCTCCTCCTCTCTCCTTTTTTTCCTCTAGAGATAAAGAAATCAATGAGTTTGGCCCATAGGTACACAGCCAAGCTACCAATCCATCACTTGGGCTCCAGCGCCAGTGGCTTGGAGCGCTTTCGTTCAACTTAACAGGAATACGAGACCAACTTGAATCCTCCGTATGTATTTTCTTTATATTGGTTTGAGAAGCAGAAAGAGCAAAAAAGGAACCGCTCCAGGCTTTGAGACAGGAGAACCTTGTAATAAAGCAAAATTTGAGCTTGTGTTTGGGTTTCTTGAGATAATACAGAGAGAGGTGAGGGCAGTGGAAATTGGAAAAGGTCTGGCGTTGTTGTGGTTGTGAAATAAGAAGGAACAGAGTCTGGGATTTCTGCTTATTTTGAAATGTCTAGAGAAAATAATAAGTACATTAAAAGGGTCCAAATTGCACTATTTTTACACTATGTTATGTTTTAAGGGATGTAACAATATCCAAATCTCACGGTAAGATATTTATTGCGATATTTTGTGGATGCTTTGACAAGACTCAATCCAAACTAAGATTAAAAAACGCTTAGAACTGCTTTTTCTTCATGTAGTTTGCACCAAAACAGAGCAAAGGATCATGGTCGATGTAGTTGCGTCTGTTTTTTTAGCTGTTGCTGCAACATAACAATGAATTTAAGCAAAGAAACTTGTGATACGTCCATGATATTATTGAGAGACTTTTGACGATAGAATATCAGGATATTTTGGTTATTGTTACACCCGTAGTTGTTTCCTCATCAGAAAACAGACCTGGAGTTGTGTTTAATTAACACACAAATCCCTGCATATTTAGGCTGAGTTCTTCTCTCAAACTGAAAACTACAGCTTCATGACATCACAAGGTGGATCAGAGCGTTTAGAGCACTGGAGACGTAGACAGACTAATAATAGATGATGACTCAAACATGTGTGAATGAAACAAAACACATCTCCAGGTCTGTTTTTGACGAGGTAACAACATTACAACACGATTTAAATCTCACAAGAGTTTGTTTTGTGTAATATTGGACCTTTAAAAATACAGGTTTGAGAATGCAAGATCTAGAATGGTTATTTAGTAAGGTTGTAACGATAACCGAAATATTGTGATATTTTCAATCGTAATATCGTGGGCTGTCACAATATATCGAAATTACAAGTTCCTTTGCTTAAATGTATTGTTTTATAGCAGCACAAGTTTATAAACATAGAGAACTACATATCCCATGATTCATTTCAGTGCAGACAACATGAAGAAATATGTTTTTTACTTGAATTCTTGGGATTATGACGGCAATAATTCACACCAAAAGTATTTTAAAAGCAAAAAAGTTTCTACAATTACATCATCCTTTCCAAAATATCGCAATAAATATATCGTACCGTGAGATGCATATCGTGAAAATATTTGATTTAGATATTGTTACATCCCTATTATTTAGCTCTAAAAATAAAAAATACACTTGCCTAGATGTTCCACAGTATGGCATTAAACTTCACGGAGAAAACAAAATCTAAAATGAGCTCTAGGTTAGTATTTCTATAGTCTTAAACTGCTACAATATCAAATAAAGTATGTCTAATTTACGTGAAAAGAAAACGACCCTATCTCACAATGTTTAGCAGCCATAACTGCTAAATAAAAACAAACAAGTCCTTTCTAGAAAACGCTCGCAACATCCCCTAATCTTGTAATCACGTAACGCTCTCACTATTATTAACCTTATCTTCTCACATCTTCATTTTCTGCTGGTTGCCACGGGAAACAGACAATCACATAATGACTGTAGCTGAAACAAACCAGGACTAGATGGAAGAATTGGCTTAGTTGCCTATGGCGACAACAACACTAGATAGAGTTAAAGGTGCATTGTGTAAATTTTCTGGTGGAGGGTCCTTTTTATCTTCAGGGAGATCAAACCAGATCAAGTTACAGGTCAGATCTGTGGAGAGGTGAACCCGCTCACAACCACAATGCCTGTTTTTCAGTATTTTTGCGCTTTAAAACCACCTGTAATTTAATAAACATAAAGTAAAGATGTTTAATGACATACTGTGGGACATTCCAGGCAAAGCAATGACCCCAAACTCAAAAGTTACGCAGTGCAGCTTTAAGTTAAGAGTTAAAAACAGTGAGTAAAGAGTAAAAGTTAAGTTAGAGTTGTAAACATGTTGTGCAGCTCCTCTCTGGTTTTTTTGTCGTTAAAGTAAAAAAACTGGAGTCGTGTCATTGCAACGAGCGGAAAACAGCTGTCTACACAAACATTCAAGCTCTAAACAGTCAAGTCCTGCTTTTAAATACAAACGGGTAACGTCACCGGAGAGAGGGAGAGAAAGAAAGAAAAGAAAGAAAGAGAAGGAAGGAGGGAGTGAGAGAGGAGGGGGGATGGAGTGGGTAGAGACACAAGGGAGAAAAGGAGAGGGGGGAGAGACACTAGAGAAAGAAGAAGAGGGGAGAATAAAGGGGGTTAGAAGAAGGATAGAAAAAGAGAGAGAGGGAGCAGTATAGAGGAAAGGAGAAAGAGAGGAGGCAAGGGTAGAGTGGGGGAGAGAAAGAAAGGAAGAAGGAGGAGATATATAGAGAGAGGGAGAAAGGGGAGACGCTTAGGGGAAAGATGGAAGAGAGAGAGAGAGAGAAGGAATGACAGACAGAGATGCATGTACAGAAAAAATAAGAACAGATAGAGAGAGAGAGGAGTGAGAGAGATGAAAGAAGAAAAAAAGGTAGCTAAGGAATCCCAAAGAAAGAGAGAGAAAGAAAAGGATGACAGAGACACACCAATGCATAAGAGAGAAGCAGAAATTTAGAGAAGAGAAGGAGAAGACAGAGAGAGAGAGGCAAGAATATAAAAAGGAAAAGGTGCTGAAAGGCAGAAGTGAAGGAGAAAAAAGAGAGAGAGAGAAAGTGATGTATGAAAGAGATGCATGTACAGAAAAAATGAGAACAGATAAAAGAGAAAGAGAGAGAGAAGGGAAAGATGAGGGAAGAAAGAAGGTAGGTAAGGAATCCCAAAGTAAGAGCGAGAGAGGAAGGAGAAAAGAAAGAAATGCAGAGGTAGAGAAGAGGAAAGAGAGAGCAGAGAAGTTGCAGAGATATGTATATAAGAGAGAGAGAGAGAGAAAAATGAAAAGAGAGAGAGAAAGAAAGAGAAAAGGATGACAGAGACAGATGCACCAATACATAAGAGAGAAAGACAGAAAGGTAGAGGGGGATAAGGGGAAAAATAGACAGAGAGAGAGAGAAAGAAAAGGATGACAGAAATATATATAGACACAAAGAGAAGCAACAATATAAGAAGAGGAAAAAATGCTGAAAGACAGAGACAGGAAGGAGAGAAAGACAGAGACAGAGAGAGAAAGAGAGAAAGGTGGAGCTGAGGGAAGGCAGCTCAGGAATCCCAAACCACAACAGCTGAACACTGGTTACCCCCTCAAACCACCATATGCCCCCTCCTCCTCCTCCTCCTCTTTCTCCTCTTTCTCTCTCTCTCGTGCCTGTCTTCGGGGCTATTCACTGTCGGGACATTGACGGATTGGACGTGAAGAGAGGAGCCTGTTTACAGACACTAAAAAACAAGCCAGCTCCAACTCCACACGGCTAACAAGACTTTAAGAGCCCCAGAACACGTGTTAGACAACGTTTTTTTTTTAACCACGAAATTCCCCCAAATCGAAAATGTGTCCAGCATATGGAAGCGATTTAAACTTTCCCTTTCCCTTTCAAATACGCATTCCAATACTGTAGTTCTTTCCATGTCGGCAGAGCTAGAGAAAAAACGGGCGACAAATTTAATAAAACATGAACAAAACTCCACACGTTGGAGTCTGAAAGTTGCGGAAAGCTCTTATAAACTCATCGCGGTGAATAATTAAGACGCTCTGAATGTATAAAGTAAGTGAGGGACAACTTCGGACCACTGCAGACTGTTAAAAATGAACTAGTTTTTCACGTTTTTAAGACTTTTAAGTATTTAATAAGCCTGAATCATTCTTAATAAAGCTTGAAACTTAACCAAAAATGTAACGTTCTGTGGAAATTGCTCTCTTCAACATAGTAGTAAACAAATAACGATTGATATTTCGCAGTGACAGTACGCTGGGGGTGTTCTGCGAGGATTTCTATGGAGGAATGCTCATCAGTTGCCATGGAGACGCAATGTATACATTAACAAAAGCAGCCTGATAAGCTTTTAGATGCTCTGGAAACTCGAGAAAAAACACAAAATGGATTTAAACAGCACATTTTCAGCAGTCTGTGATCAATACGACGAGAGTTCATGGTCCAGTGTAAGAGTTCCAACTAAATTAGCCGTTTCTGGTCAGATTGTGTCAAAAAAAAAGCTCAAAATTAAAGTCTAACAAAGCTTCAGACAGAGCAGTGCCTCCAGTTAGCATCACGCTCCCAGAAAAACCAAAGCTGCAAAGTATCAACAGCTAAAACGAATTATTTCTAAGCTCGTTTCATTACAAAATCAGGACATCCCGTGACACTTGGACCCACTTATCTAGACAAATGGGTCACGCAAACAGAAGACACGACCAAATATGGACAAGTGACCCAGGACAGGAAGAGGAGTTGGGTACAAGAGAAAAGTAAATCTTTAAAAAATGTCGAAATGTCCGTTACCTGATGTGTCCCATAGGCTGAGCTCGATCCGCTGTGTGTCGATTTCAAAACTAGCCGTGTAGTTTTCGAATACCGTGGGGACATAACTCTACAAAAAAACAACAAAATTCGACAAAATATAAGTAAAAAACATGTTAAAAATTGCATTTAATAGTGGAAACATGAGACAGATTCATGCATTTGTACTGTATGTTTGCTGATAATTCACTATTGCAACTGACGTGTACATTTATGACCCAGTAAGGGAACATTCCATAGGTATTACTAGGCAGCCTATTCAAAAGCATGCAAACTTGGGCCTATATATTATTATTATAGGCAGCAAACTTGACTCTTGTGAGCTTTAAGTCAAGTTATAATGCTGTTACATGATCCAAAACAAACCTGGAATTGTGTTTTGCTTCATTTTATTATTAGTCTGTCAACATCTCCAAAGCTCAAAATGCTCTGTCCCACTTTGTGACATCATGTAGAGGTAGTTTTCAAGTCATCAGCTACCTTTTCTACCTTTTGTTCAGTATCGATTGGCAATTCCTGGGCTGCAATGATCCAAATGCTTCTACTGAACGTGTATGGAGCTTAAAAACACAATGGAGCGCTTCTCGTGTTGCCACATGACATCACAAGGTGGAACTGAGTGTTTTCTGTTTGCATGTTTGCGATGAGGAGTCAATAGTGGATCAAAGTACACGCATTCCAAAGTTAATACACAGATTACTTCTAAACTGTTTCGAGATCAGTAAGTGTATATATTTTATTCAAAAGTATGCAGTATACGTCAAAAAATACACGCTAGAAACTTAGAAATCCTATATGCCTTGATTACTATAAAGGCAAAAGTGAATTAAAGTGGACTTAATTTAAAGTTAATTCACAAATAACATTACTTTTAAACTGTTAAGAGATTGGTAAGTGTATATATTCCACAGTTATTACTAGAAAGTTAACTCAAAAGCATTTAATATATCAAAAACTACTCCCTGATTAATTAAAGGAGTAATAGAAGGTTATAGTGGGCTAATTTTAAAGTTAATATGCAATTACATTACTTTTAAAAGGTATTTTAATATGGTTAAAGTTAAAATGTGCACAAAATGACAACTTTTCTACTTACTTATTATTACTGATTAAAAGTGGATAAGTATTTGGACCAGAGTACAGCTTTTATACATGATACAACACATTTCTAGGCTACTTATTTGTACAGAAAAGTGCAAAATTCAGCTTATAACAACCGTATTACCAAACCATTTAAATTGTCATTGTTAAGGGTGGACTTTTTAGTTAAGTTAATGCATTTTGGTCCAAGAAATTAACCTAATACTTGAAAAACTACTATGCATTTTGAATAAAACGAAATAATAATGTGCTTAACTCAATCATTTTAATTAACTAACGCGTAATTTGGGGGTTATCTCTGACTTTTTACAAGAGTGCATCCTCTGTGAGCAAATATTCTTGATTTTAGCTGAGTATTTTCACATTACAAGGCTAGAAATGAGTTAAAAAGATAGATTTAGTGAGATATAGATAGGCTCGTACCTCGGGGAAGCAGTCTTTGGCGAACACGTGAAGCAGCGCCGTCTTCCCGCACTGGCTGTCTCCCACCACCACGATTTTACATTTCACACTTTGGCTCGGATCCATGGCGGATTTGAGTGAGAATTTCTGACAGGACCGTCTCTCCTTCATTGATTTCCAAAAGTGCGTGAAGTAAAAACCAAAACGTACAACTCCAAAGATGTGAGAACGCGTGCAGGAACCGTGCCCGTGGATGTCTCCGGCTCGTATCCGCCCCGTGCGCTCTCCTCTCCCCGGTGCCGCCGCCTGCTCTGAGCCGGTAATTGCGCTGTGGCCGTATTTATAACCTCGCACGAGCTGCCGGGGAGAGTGCGTGCCGGCTCGTGCGTGTGCGTCCCTCCCTCGAGAGCCGACGCACACACACGTACAGAGAGAGAGAGAGAGCAAGGCCGGGGCAATGTGGGACAGGACCACGAGGGCGCCCCCTTTTGGACCACACGCGTTTTCTAAAAAAAAAACAAAAACAAAAAAAAACCTACATGTAATTTATTGTGTTTTTTTATATTTCATGTATTGGGTATGATTAAAAAAAAAAAAAAAAGTTATATTTTAGACTCATCACAAACATACCGGGACTTGTGTTGCGTTTTGTTTCGTTCACACATGTTTAAAGTAACAGTTCGCAATTTTGGACATAGGACCTCACTTACAATTTCCTAGTGAGCCAGAGTTTTGGAGACTTCTTGAGACACTTTAAAAAAAATATTCCATCCAGTATTTGTATTAGCAGAGGTCGCTAATGCTAGGCTAGCATAGTTAGCCTGACACTAAAAACTGTCTTACTCACTCCACAAAGCGCCCGAAGTAAATCTATTATTACGCCAGACTGTCCATGTAAATGTTTGTGTTGATAGAATAATGTTTGAAATAAAACTAACCTTGCATCACATGAATCGTCGCATGTTGAGGGACTATTTTCTCATATATCAGTCCACCACTGCCAAACTTTCTATCAGGAAGTACAATTCGCTGCTGCTGCTGCTCAGACATAAATCCTTCAAATGCGAGATGGATTTTACTTATAAAATTATTCTATCAACACAGAGATTTACATCGACAGTCTGGTGTAATAATAGATTTGCTTCGTGTGTTTTGTGGAGTGGGTAAGACTGTTTTTTGTAGCAGGATAACTATGGCCATTGACATGCACTAGCCTAGCACTAGCGAACTCTGCAAATACAAGGACTGATTGTAATATTTTTTTAAAGTGTCTCCACACATCTCCAACACTCTGGCTCACTAGGAAATGAGGCTGTAAAGAAAACTATAGAAATTTAATACCACTACTGCTACAGCTATTTCAAGTTATTACTGTTACTAATACTAATACTATTACTACTAGAAGTGCTTCTAAGTACTACTACTTCAAGTGCTACAACTAAATAACTACATTAAAGTTATACTGTGACTACATATGCTGCTATTATTACAAATATTTCTACAAGTTACATACTACTACAAGTTTTTTCCACAAATTACTACAACTAAAACTACTACTTAAACTAAATTAATGTTACTACTGCAACTACTTCTAGAAAACTATAGAAATTTACTACAACTACTACTACACACATTAATTTCTTCTACAAACTACTACTACTTCATTTACTACTACTACTGCTACTGCTACTACTACTACTACTTTAATGTAATTTCTGTGACTAAATAATTCAAGAACACTATAGAAATTTAATACCACTGCTAACTTCAAAACTACCACAAAATGACATCACAAGGTGGAACAGAGCGTTTTGAGCTTTGGAGATGTAGCAGACTAATAATAAAGAATTACTCAAACATGTAAATGAAACAAAACATAACTCCAGATCTATTTTCAATGAAGTAACAACATTATAACACGGCTAAAAACTCAATTCTCAAAGCAATTCGGTGTAATGTACAGTAGGACCTTTAAATGCCATACTGTGGGACATTACAAGCAAAGCCGGAGACACACGATTACATGAGATCATTTGGTCAGTGCACTAAAACGGCTCTTCCTTTTATCTATTCTTATTACATTGTGTCATCGTTGCACTGGCCTCAATGCTCATTTATTTTTAAACCCAAAACAATCTGACCTATATTTGTCTGACACTAAATGGCTTCCTTCCCCTTTAAATCAACAGTCCCTGGGGGGGTTGGTGGTATATCCTGCCCTTTCAGAAGTATGTCACATGAGCAGACAGGTGCCCGTGTAGTCCTCTTCTAAATCTGGAGACGCAGGATCGCCCCAAAACAAACCTGCTGTAACTGTCACATATATGTTTACTAGACAGGTTTAAATGTCAGACAGACTAAGACATGACCACACTGGACCAGAAAGGGCTGGGGTTAAACTCTAAATAATAAATGATTTGTATTTGACATTTTGAGAAGTTATATTGTTATTTTCTACATTGCTAATCTTTTATTACTACTACCATTACTGTCCTTACAATTACTTAAACTTAAATCAAATGTTAAGTATAGAAAAGCCTATATAATTTAATTTGATGCATTTCACTACTACTACTTCTACTACTATTACTACTACTACTACTGCATGTGCTTCTAAGATATACAAACCTTACTGCTACAAACTACTGTTACTTCAGTTAGTACTACAAATCTTCAAATTACTACTACCATAACTACATTAATGTTATACTGTGAGTACATCTGCTGCTATTATCCTAAGTATTTCTTGAAAACTATAGCCTATTACAGTGTAAATATACTGCTTTTTAAATTACTTCAATTAAAACTACTACTAAAACTAAATTAAAGTTACTATTGCAACTACACCTTTATTGCTATTGTAAGTACTTCTAGAAAACTATAGAAATGTACTACTACCACTACTACTACAGCTACTTCATTTATTACTACTACTACTACCTTTTACAGACCTTAGCACAGTATTGCTCCTTCAATTACTACTACTACTATTACTACTACTACTACTACTACAGTAATGTTACTTCTGTGACAAAACAATTCAAGAAAACTATAGAAATTTAATACTACTACTAATACGTCTACTTCAAATTATTACTGTTACTACTACTGCTGCTACTACTACTATTACTACTAGAAGTGCTTCTAAGAACTGCTTCTTCAATGACTACTACTAAATAACTACATTCAAGTTATATTGTGATGACATCTGCTGTTAGTATTATTACAAGTATTTTTTGAAAACTATTGCCTACAATGTAAATATACTAAAAGTTCTTCCACAAATTACTCCTACTGCTACTACTCCTCTTAAGAATCTTACTACAATTGCTTCGAGAAAATAATCCTATTTAAATTACTACTATTAACTACATTCATAAAATACTGCAACAACATTTGCTGCTGGTATTTCTTGAAAACCATAGCCAACTACTACTACTACTACTACTACTACTACTACTACTACTACTACTACTACTACTACTACTACTACCACCACCAGTCATTGAGCTTCAGAAGTGGCCCCAGTCCATTTCATGTCTTGTAATGTTTTATTAATGAAGCCTCATACAATCTGTGCTGTTTTCTCCCGTCCCAAATGTGTGAATCTGGCAACGCTTCAGGCTCTGGCAACCCACTCCTTTACCCCGCCGCACCTGAGCCTGCCCATGCCCTCGAGCAACACACTTTTTTTTCTTTTCTTTTTTTTTTTTTTTTACAGGAATCACACCTTCACTAATCTCTTCAAATGTGTTTCTTTGAAGCTTTTGTCTGAAACAGGAAGATATCATGAAATAAAAAGGTGTTTAGATCTTTTAAAATGACAGGTTTTCATGTTTTTTCTAATGACTTGGTTTGGTGGGATAGTATCTGTAAATATTTATCATAATTTTACATCAGTTAAGTGACAGTTTGTGTGAAAAAATTAAAGAGAAAAATACAAAAATACAAGAAATTGAGCCGAGTTAAAAAATCAAATAATTCTACCTTTCATAAATGCAGAAAATAAAATAAAATACAAAATTTTAATAAAAAATATCATAAAAATTGTATAATATTACACTATGTTCTGATCTATGTTATAATGTTGTTTCTTTTGAGTTGTGTTTTATTTCATTTACATGTTTAACACATAAACAATACAGGAATTTTAAAGGTGCATTGTGTAACTTTACGGGTAGAGGGTCTAACATCAGATTTTTTTTCCATGGAAACTTTATTGCTTTGCTTAAAATGTTCCGTAGAAGCATTAAACTTCTCTATTTTGCATTTATTCAGTTGCACATGTTTTTAATTGCTTAAAAAAAACGTGTAACTTGGCTTGGTCTTATCACTTTTTGTCTCGTTTAATGCCGTACTGTGGAGCATTCTTGACAAAGCAACAGCATCTCCACGGAAACGAAGAGGTAGCAGACCGTCCACCAGAAAAGTGAGTGCTAAAACGTTGTTGTCTTGTTTTGAAAACCTCTTGTACATTTGTCGTTGGCGTGGGCTCGGGGCTCGTATCCCATCGAACAGAAGGGGCATCCCAACAGTGCGGCGCCTGGAGGGGAGGAGCTGCCACTGTCACCACGGCGATGGAGGGGAGCGGGGCACAACGTGGGACTTTCCTGTTTGGAGAAAAAGGGGCGAGTGTGTGTATCCATGAGGCTGATGACTACAAAAGCAGAGATTTCAAATGCATTTACAGTAGTACAGTAGTTATTTTTTGTAGTCAGTATTTTTTGTAGTCACTTATTTTTTGGCTCTTTTTTGTTGCCGACTCCGTTTTCGTGCCAATTCCTCGTTGCTTCAGCATTAATCAGAATAAAAACGCACAAAAATGATAAAGAAAAAGATTTGGTTCTTTTGAAAAATGAGATCTAGTTCCAACTTTTCATCAGAAACTGTTCAAAAGAGCTGACTTGTTCACAAATGTTGCAAAAATATCGCTATATTGACCTAAAGCTGCCATGTGTAACTTTTTGGTTGAGGGTCCGTCACCTACTGTATTCTCTGGATATGTCATTGCTCTGGAATGTTTCACAGTATGACTTTAAACAACTCTACCTTACATTTATTCAGTTACAGGTGGTATTATAGCTCAAATACCAAGAAATACAGACATTCTGACTGTGAGCAGCTTTGCCTCTCCGCAGATCTGACTTGTAACTTGGTCTGTTTTGGTCTCCATGAAGATAGAAAGGTTTAATGTCATACTGTGGAACATTCCAGACAAAGCAATATCATCTTCATGGGAAAAAGCATTTGACAGACCCTCCACCAGGAACGTTAATGTCTCATAAAGCATGAAACAGAACT